AAATATGCCCTATTAATTATTTTACCGTATTTTACATCAAAATTTCATGGTAAAACAGTACAAGCTACATGTTAAACTGATAGTTAGCTAGCTACTTCGGTAAACTCAGCTAGTTTAAAGGCGGCAGTGACATAAAATACAAACATAGATTTGAACTTACCGAAAAAAATGAAGTGGAGACTCCTTGGACGCTCTATTAGTGCAATTAATACTACAGCAAGTCATTTTGTCCAACAATTGCACAAATAATATCTAAAACAGAATTCACAAGCACAGAGACTCAAAATCCCGAAACAGTTTCCAGAAGAGACCGAGGCTGTACTGAGGCCTTTCCACGGAGCTAGCTCTGTGGTCACGTGGGTCTGATGCTCATTAATTATACAGAATTTTAGGCTTTCAATACACTTAAACAGAAGAGTGAGAAATAAATTCACCCCCCTCAGAGTTGTCATGAGTATAAACTAGATCTTTTAAACCAAAAACATGTTTTGGTACCAGGCTGTAAACATGTTTATTTCTGCTGTGAAATTGGTATTTTTAACATGGGAGTCAATGAGGATTTGCTCGCTTCTGACACCAGCCCCTAGTGGATGAGGGTGGAACTGCAATTTTTGGTACTTCCGGGTTGGGACCATTTTTAGAGCCGCATTGTGGTGGCTTGGGCTCCACGCAAGATCTCATCCCGTGGGGTCAAAATGATCATGAGAACGGTGAGCAAGAATCCCAGAACCACACGGGGGGACCTGGTGAATGACCTGCAGAGAGCTGGGACCACAGTAACAAAGGTCACCATCAGTAATACACTACAACGGCAGGGAATCAAATCATGCAGTGTCAGACGTGTTCCGCTGCTGAAGCCAGTGCATGTCCAGGCCCGTCTGAAGTTTGCCAGAGAGCACATGGATGATACAGCAGAGGACTGGGAGAATGTCATGTGGTCAGATGAAACCAAAGTAGAACTTTTTGGTATAAACTCAACTCGTCGTGTTTGGAGGAAGAAGATTACTGAGTTGCATCCCAAGAACACCATACCTACTGTGAAGCATGGGGGTGGGAACATCATGCTTTGGGGCTGTTTTTCTGCTAAGGGGACAGGACGACTGATCCGTGTTAAGGACAGAATGAATGGGGCCATGTATCGTGAGATCATGAGCCAAAACCTCCTTCCATCAGTGAGAGCTTTGAAGATGAAACGTGGCTGGGTCTTCCAACACGACAATGATCCCAAACACACCGCTCGGGCAACAAAGGAGTGGCTCCGTAAGAAGCATTTGAAAGTCCTGGAGTGGCCTAGCCAGTCTCCAGACCTCAACCCCATAGAAAATCTGTGGAGGGAGTTGAAAGTCCGTGTTGCTCGGCGACAGCCCCAAAACATCACTGCTCTCGAGAAGATCTGCATGGAGGAATGGGCCAAAATACCAGCTACTGTGTGTGCAAACCTGGTAAAGACCTATAGTAATCGTTTGACCTCTGTTATTGCCAACAAAGGTTATGTTACAAAGTATTGAGTTGAATTTTTGTTATTGACCAAATACTTATTTTCCACCCTGATTTACAAATACATTCTTTAAAAATCCTGCCATGTGAATTCATGGATTTTTTTTTCACATTCTGTCTCTCACAGTTGAAGTGTACCTATGATGAAAATTACTGACCTCTGTCGTCATTTTAAGTGAAGAGAACTTGCACAATCGGTGGCTGACTAAATGCTTTTTTGCCCCACTGTATATTTCTAGTTATTATTCATACGTGTTCATTAATGCGCCTCAAACTAAAGCATGCATGCCCACAAATGACACATCAAAATGACCGGCTAGGCCGTGGGAAGTTTGGAAATATTTTTCTAAGTGTTTTGATTTACTATGGTAACGTGGTCAGCGAAAAACTTTGCAAAAACTGCCTCCTTGGCCATACCGGGCACTAACTCACATGCATTTCACATGCAGCCAACTATTGCTAATCCTACAATAACACATGGCCACTATCTTGTGCTAACGAACAGGCCCCTTTCAAAGTTTCATTATGTTTCTAGTTTTATACTCTAGATTTTATAATGACGGAGAAGTATAAACCAGGCTTGAGGATCAGATGTAAGTGTGGTCTATGCTTCAAGAGCTAGCTGTGATGATGAGCTTCCAGAGAGCTGGCCTATCAGCTATGATGTCATAAAGTAAAAGGGTACAGCCAAATTGCATTCCATAATAATAATCCCTGCAAAACTGCAATGAAAAAACACTAAAACAGACAAATGTCCATAGGTAAAGGCCAGATCACATAAAAAAGTCTTTAGCATTAAGCTAATTTATGCTTCTCCATCTGAGTCGGGACGCAACGCCATTATCCGTCCGTTCGAGGGCTCTCCAGCAGGCTCGCAAGGACGGACGGAGTCGAGCTCTCTTTTCTAAACATCCGTCCGACGAGACGGACGACACAAGCTTGTGATTGGTCAGGACGCCGCTGTCATCAAAAGTACAGCCACTGCAACCTCAAAAACATAAAGGGAGCTCAAGCTCTCTGGCGGCAGAAGCTTGAAGAATGCATCGTGTAAAACTCTAAAAATATGAAAATTTCATTTCCCCGTGACTGGAGGAGTGAAAAGATATGCAGCGAGCGTTGTATTTGTGGACGGAAATGGCGGGAAACGTGGGTTTAGAGGTGGCGCGCTAAGGCCCCTTCTTAAAATGTCTTCAGGAGTTATATTTCTAGTTATTATTCATACGTGTTCATTAATGCGCCTCAAACTAAAGCATGCATGCCCACAAATGACACATCAAAATGACCGGCTAGGCCGTGGGAAGTTGGTAATACTTTTCTAAGTGTTTTGATTTACTATGGTAACGTGGTCAGCGAAAAACTTTGCAAAAACTGCCTCCTTGGCCATACCGGGCACTAACTCACATGCATTTCACATGCAGCCAACTATTGCTAATCCTACAATAACACATGGCCACTATCTTGTGCTAACGAAGAGGCCCCTTTCAAAGTTTCATTATGTTTCTAGTTTCATACTCTAGATTTTATAATCCTCTAACATTTCTGCAGTACTAAAACACAGACAGAACGATGTTTAGCCCTGTAGTGGCTTTTTTCAAGGCTTCAAGCAAACCGCAGATATAAAGCATCTCCCTGCTTGAGTTCTTTCTAAACGTTCAATCACTCCAAACTCGTCAGCTCCCCAGCGATTTTCGTATCGACATGCATACGGCAAGTCTAAAGTACAGCAAACATTCCTATGATAGTGTGGGCTAACCCCAAACTAAATTTTAACTTCTAGTGAAGTAATAAATAGATTAATACGTACTTACATTTAGCTAAAGGTATTGGTCATACCTCACTGAATTTAACATCTCAGCATGGCAAGCGCAGATGTTTATTTCGCTGGATCCCTTGTGCGGGCGTCTATGGCAGGGCTTCAGCTAGTCCAAGAATGGTGTGCAAGTTGAAAGGTTTCATGGGCTGATCAGCCCTGTCATCGTATGAATACACAGATGGCTGGTTGCCAGATACTCTATGAAAGATGGGTTCTTCATTTGTCTTTGACAACCAGTTAATTTTTCTTGATATGCCTTTGTTTTGAACGTTAGACATCCATGGCTGTTTAGCAGGTATTTTTCTAGGAGGGATATGTCCTGCGGGTCTAGATGACGGAGGGTTTGGCCGGGTCATAGTGTGTCGTTTTGTAGGAGCTTGATTTGGTTGAGGGGCAGTGGGTGGGTGTGGTTTAAGTGGAGGTTTTACTAGGCCTGATTTGTTCGTCGTTTCTGTCTTTAGTTTAGTCTTGGGTCCAAATGAGGCAACGGGCTCTCTCCCTTGATTTTGTAAACCAGGTTTTGTAGAGGGTTTAATCCTTGATTTGATTTTTGGTAACACATTAAAAACTTTATACTCGGTCAACGGCTCTTCAAATTCATCCGTGTCGACAATGTCTTGAGTTGGAACAGGATCTGATGTAGTTCTGTCTTTTTTTGTGAGGTTTCTTTCATATTGCTTTTGAAATGCATAGAAAACGTCTGTTTCAGTCATTTCAGGATGCAATGTTTTAAACTGTTTCATTTCTGAAAAATAACCTGCCAGAAAATCAATACGGTCTTGAGGTTTTGCAATGACAGTTGCCCTCATTGCAAATTCAAATGTCGTTCGTAATTCACGTGAAACTGGAAATTCCATTTCGAGATCCGTGTAAAATCTGTTTTTCCGACTGAGGATCAGATGTAAGTGTGGTCTATGCTTCAAGAGCTAGCTGTGACAATGAGCTTCCAGAGAGCTGGCCTGTCAGCTATGATGTCATAAAGTAAAAGGGCACAGCCAAATTGCATTCCATAATAATAATGCACACAAAGCAAGGATAACCAGGTCCTGGCAGGGCCATAGAAAATTAAATAATTAAATAAATAAATAAACGCATACATAAATAAATTAATGAACACATAAATAAATTAATTAATTAAATCATTAATTAACATTCATTAATTCGTTTTTTATCTATTTAATTATTTATTTAATTTTCTATGGACCTGCCAGGACCTGTTTATCCTTGCATTGTATTAGTTTTTAATCTTCTGCACTGGCTTTTCTCTTTAACACTGGAAGTAAATGGTCTAACAAACTTGTCATATCTCCTTTACTAAACATTGTGAAAACTAAAAGTTTACATTACATGGTTTTTTGTGGTTTAATACATTTTTAAACTATATCGGATTTTTGGACAGAAGCTGTTTGGCATTCAGTTACTACTAGTCTACCACCCCTTGTGCCTGTCTCCCTGGTCACCATGGTTACCATTCATTTTAAAACGACTAGTTCTGTCTAAAGTTTACATTGAAAAAAAGTTTGAACTAATTTCATACACACACACACACACACACACACACACACATATATATATATATATATATATATATATATATATATCAACGTATAAATCTGTTATGAACAGTTGAAAAATGACTACAAATTAAAAAAAATTATATATATATATATTTTTTTTATTATTTGTAGTCATTTTTCAACTGTTCATAATGGATTTATACGTCGCGACATAAATATTCCATCAGTGTTGCACCAGCATCCTGGGGACAAGTTGAAACAACTATGTAATGTAAAACTTGCATGTGTATAAACATTATGTAGACGTAGGCTGTGTCTCAATTCAGGGTCTGCATCCTTCGAAGGACGCAGCCCACCCCGCCGACGTGGGCTGCGTCCTCCGTCGGCCGGGTAGACCGGATGTTAACGACTGTGAATTTGGACAGGCCTAGCCTTCATGAACTCCCTCGGCGAACGTTCCGTCGCCTAGCAACCGTGGAACCGCTGGGCAGAAGGGACGTTTTATTTAGCTTTTTAACCCCCAGAGACCCAAATTTAGAAAACAACTGCAAAATCTTTTTTAACCTTTCACATGTTGCTCTAGGAGGCCAGATAAACGGGCCTATTTACACATTTTAACAGCCAATAGTGTTGCAGAACTGAACAATAGGACCTATTAGCAATGTAAATGTGGTTTTAAAAAGAAAAAAATGAGGAAGGTTTATTCTTGTAGACTTAAATCTGATGTTGTAATGTTACAACCGTGGGTCTCTGGGGGTTAATCATTTCCTTGACTGTTGGAGAGCTAATTCAGAGAAAATACTTTAGACTAGCTGAGCCTGAGCAAAGATGTGATAATAGTTTTAATACTTTCTAAGGGTCTTGATTTGACCAAAACCGATTTATCACCTTTTAAGACTTTTCAAGACCCAGCGGATACCCTCTAGTAAACAATTCTCATTTGTAAACAAAAATAAAATCCAAGAGTTTAATGCAGAACTGATTTTATTTAGATATTTCTTTTATATGTACATGTTTAATCTTCATTAACCATTTTTTTCTAGCAAAATAAAAAGCTGTCAAAGTTCTTCCTTCTCTCCTGGGCCCTCTGCCTCCCTCTGCAGCCTCATGTCCTCCCAGATCAGCTCCAGAAGCTGGTCATCGCTGGCACCTTCCCCTGGATGCCCATTTTCTCCAGAATAGTCTTAACAAACATGTAAGAAAAGAAACAGATAGAGAAAAGAGGACAACAGGTTATTCCTTTCATGTTTTCGCAGAAAAAAATAAACTCAAACAAGTTTTTAAAATATGAGATGTTATTGTACCTCCAAGCCACAGCCGCCGAATACTTTGCTCCAGTGATCATGTGGTCCATTTTCGCCCTAAGCTTAATAAATTCCCTGGTTTTCTCTTTTGTTCCTAAAATACAAACTTCTATTAAAATCAGGGGGAAAACGTAGCGGGAGAAGTACGACACCGAGCGGCCGAACATACGAGCCGAGACCGCAGTACAAGCACTTTTACTGTAACATTTCTAACTAAAATAACGTTCATGTATCACAAAAAGTCCTTAACCTAACAGTTTTCAAGTTTATACTGACATTTATATGCGCAATCCTCTCCGACAGCTCCCGCTTCACTGTCCGCCATTGTTTTTAAGTTTTTCTGCTGGCCGGCCCGCAAGGCATCTTGGGAAATGCTACCTATTGAAGGATACACCGGACCCATCCTTCATTCAGGCGAAAAGAAGGCCGCATTCGTCGACCGCATTTGAAGGAGTCTTCGAATTGGGACAGGTCTAGTCGCGGCGCTGTGACGTAACCGGCCGACGAATCCGGCCGACGTAGGATGCAGACCCTGAATTGAGACACAGCCAATGATTTGCTATGATAATATGTTGATTGGAACTGTTTAATAATGGCAGTAGTACACTTTTCTATTGGCTTTGCTCAGACTAGCCATTAGCGTATCAGTCCTAACAGAGTGGCTGGGGTTAGGGTTAGCCAGCTGTAACGTGATGAAGGAGCTATTCCTCCAAAGATATTTGACCTTTTCCACAGCTCCTTTTGACACAGCGCCAGAGTGCATGAAACAGCCTCAAGGTCATGCATTCGCTTCTAAACTGTTTACTTCCCAGCAGTGAAGATAGAAGATGAAGACTCTTTTCTTTTCTTTTATTAAAATCAAAGAACTCTAATTTCAATTAAGCTAATCAAAACAACTGTTAGTTAATAATACAATGTGACCGATCTGTGAAATCACAATAGTACGATTAATATGTTTTTAATAAGTAATATGACTTATTCTAGTCACTAGACATGCTGTTACACTAAGGTAAATAATCACATGACACATTACTGTGCTGATCCAATCAGAACCTTCCTAGTCTGAAGCGTGGCAGAGTCTCTGTGGTGTTTGTTAAATCTGTCGGCTTTGATTTAGAGCCCTGCACGGGCCTAAAATGTGAGCCCGTGTCCGGCCCGGCCCGAAAAGGTTTTCAGGATTCTCTGACCCGGCCCCAGCCTGAGCCCGACTTTTTTTAACCAACTAAATGAAAACAAAGTGCGTCAATCCTGACCAATGTGTTAAAAGACATGCAGGATCCTATCAATTTGTTTTTCCCTCGTTTACCGTCACGGAGATGACGGCGCACTGGCTCTGGTGGTAATCCAGTTAAATTATATCTCTTTCCAACAATTTTCACAAGAAAACAAAACAGTCAAAAGCAGGGCTTGTGTTGTGTTGACCGGATATTTCCCGTATTTGACGGTTTATTTTGACGGAGAATGAATAGAAAGAATTACCCCAACGCATGCAGACGAACTGACATTTTATTTGTTACGCACATCGCAGATGTAGCTAAATAACCCAAGAAAAGATTCCCATCTGAACATCTGAGCTGCTCAGCGCAGCTCGCTGTCAGCGCATATGTGCACAGCGAGCTGAATTTGTGGAGATTGGCTTGGAGCGCGTCGCAGAACCAGAGCGCATGCGGGAAGGTTCCTCCCACTGAACACTGTTCTCTCAGAGAGACTTGTCACTTAGAAAATGTTCCCTGATTATGAAACTTTGGCTGAATAGCGCTTGTTCCTGTCTCCAATGTGGCGACACATCCAGGAGCCGTCTGAGGAGAGTCCCAGAATCTCACATCCTCTTCAGCTCAGAATGCGCCTATGATTACGCACAAGCGTAACCCGTCAACCCGGTCTCACAGTAAGACTGGGTTGGGCCTGTTCAGGTTTACACAGACAATCTTTACATAGAATTGACTTACAGATATAAAATTAATTCAGTAAAATATAAAGCATTTTATTTAAATATCCATTCATTATTTTACAAGCGCAGAGAGCCGCATCAGATGGATGGAAGAGCCGCGGGTTGTGACATGTTTTCTCCAGGACCAGAGAGGACGCAAACTCAATACATCTCTTTTATTGTGAGGTAATAATTTCTCCGAGTTTTGCGGTTGCGGGCGGGAGTAGACATGCGCGCTGCAGGTGCGGGCGGGAGTGTAACACACACGTTGCAGTTGCAGGCGGTAATGGTCAGAAATTCAGCGGGAGCGGGCAGGAGCGGGATGAAGAAAACAGTCCCGCGCAGGGCTCTACTGCTGCGTTTGTGGTTCAATTTTTTTTTATGAATTTGATTAAAAATAAAGGTGCCCGGCCCGTGTCCGAGGTAATTACACAGTCGTTGGCCTGAAGCCCGGCCCGAGGGCCGTTGGGCCGACCCGACCCGAGGGCCTAGGGCTTCAATGCAGGGCTCTATGTTTGATTCGTCCAGAATCAAAAACATCCAGATTAATAAAACTGTTCCAACGCCATCTTAAGTTCAGTTCTCAAGATCTCTTCTCAAGATTCCATGAAGTTCACCGCATGTTAAGAGAAGTATGGAAAGGCCATCTATACTTCTCTTTTTAAGCTGAGAACCATTAAAGCTGGGACAAACCTGTTGTTGTTACCAACCAAGCAACGGTACCTTCAGAATAAAAGCTGAACTCGCTGACCCAAGGAGGGTCCCTTTTGGACGCTGTGAAACACCTGTCGCTTTTTACCTGGAGACTATCCAAAGACTGGTTTGTCGGGCTGTCGACGCTGTACCATTGGCTCCAGTACCAGCGGAGGGTCCGTGGACCTGGCATCCGGATCTGTACGGAGGTCTCACTGAGGGTATGTGGATGCGACACAATGGCGACTCGTGTTTACGACTACGAGTCTAAAACTCTGATCAGTTAGGAGCAAAACATCATCTCCCACTCAGACTTGTTTCTCCGGATGTGAAGGTTCTGAATTCGACATCATTCACACACACTATTCACCTCACACTTCATTCCAACAGAACATCCATCATTAGAGAGTTAGTCTTGATAAATTGTTTAAAATTATTTGACAATAAATTTCCTTAAACGTTTGAAAGTCTCTCTGTCTTCTCTTGTCTCTCAGTTAATGCAAAGTGTTATTAGAAAATCCCTGTAATAAAAAGACCCAATCTTCTGATTTAAATAACCCAGTGTCCATAAGATGAGATTCATACTAGATATGAATTTTTAATGTCTTATGGTCCTTAATTAAATGTAATTAATTTCTATCATTACTCAGCTGTTCAGTGAGCTTCCTACGACGGGTAGTAAATTAAACCGTTTTAAACCTGAAAATGATTGAGAGATAATTGTAAATAGTATGAAACTAAATAAACACTACACTTGTTTTGTACACAGTGTTTTTAAGTTACAATTTTGATTTGCTGTTGATGTCGCCATAGCTGACCCCCCTGGTGGAATAGCACTGGTACTTAAGCGTTTTTGTGAAATTTACCTGAATATGAATTTTATGTTTCAGAATTAGATTTAAAACGATGTGTTTTATGAATATCTGGAACAAGAATTCCTATTGTTGAAGCTATTTCTTCATGTGCTTTGTCTTTTAGTTGCACCCTTGTCTGACCTTTGGCCTTTAAATTAGCAGAAGTGTTTGCCGTGATGGGAACACTTGTAGACCGCTGATTAGGTCAACCCTGGGCAGTAGTAAAACACTGAGTACCACAGTTAAACAATTAAGAGTGTTTAACAGATATCTGCATGTATCTACTACTGAATTGTTGCCTTGGAGAGCACCTTAACAACCAGACTGCTTTATGCTGGGCTTTTCTGGTCCTGCTGAGCACTCCAGGAGCATTTGAGTTTCACTCACAAACTCAGATTGGCTTCAGTTTCTTGTCCAAAGATACTTTGTCATGTGGAAGGGGAAGCTAAAATAAAAATAAAAACCTCTCAATTGACAGATCATCCTTCTGAGCCGAAGCCATTCCCCTTCTAGAGATTCCCAAAGCAGCAATGTTACTGTTTCTCTGTCAATATTCCTTTCAAATAATTATTTTCCTGAAAACGATTATGCAAAAAGTGCATTAAAATGTACGTCTTTAGACTTTTTCATACCTGCTAAGTAAACGTGAATGCATGACCAGACTCTGCTGCGTATTAAATGCATATTTTTGACAGGACTTTACATTTTTGCTCAGCTGCAGTTTGTTTGAGGTTTGACTTTTGTTTACAAGAAGGCCATCCTGTCTATCTCTGTCTGTCTATGCATTTACGACAGAGCGTAGCAGGTGATGTTACCATGGTGATTAGGGATGCACAATATATCGGCATCAATATCGGTATCGGTGCGATAAATTAAACTGGGCCGATATTAACAACCGATATTTTTTCCATCTTATTTCCATTTGTTTATCTGTTACAGAGGGTGAGGGGGGTGATGTGTAGTTGTTTAGTCACATGACAGTGACTGTAATCATCTCAGAAGTGTAAATGTGTGTGGTGTGTGTACATAACAATGTAAATTCAGCTTTAAAATGTTTTATTCTATACAAAATCTGCTGATTTTAGAAGCATTAATGTCAGCATATCGGTTATCGACCATGACAGTGATCTTAATATTGGATATTGGTATCGGCCCAAAAGTTTCATATCAGTGCATCACTAATGATGATCATAATCAGCTACCGGCAGCAGCTTTAACATTTTTGTTTTCTTCTTTTCTATTTTAGATTGTTACAGCTGTACTATTGTTAAAAAAGTTTTTTGTTGTAAGAAAAAAATGTCTCTAAATTATTCAATTATGTTTATGGTGAAATATAACTTCTGTAGAATGTGAGTAAAATATCTTGCATTTAATTTTGACATAAAACAAAAAATAAACCACAGCATGCGTCTCCTTATGTTTTCCTCATTAAACAAACAAAAATGAATAACTAAGGGACTCTTTTTGCCACCTTTGTCTAAGATAAAGTAGTTCAGCCACTGAGCCCTAAGGCTGTGTTTAGGGTCCACTCCTGTTTTATTATAGATACACCCTCCTTTCATAATGTCTCCCATCACCCATATGCAGATGTCATCCAGCTGTGCTGCTCCTTTAAATAGATACTTAGCAACTTTTTGTATTTTAAAAAACATTTCTAGACCCAAAATGACCCTTTACAGGGTTAATAAAATGTCGCTCAGACCCCCGCCGCCCTTCTGTGCCAGAATACTGCATTTGCAACTCCAGTGTGGGCGGTCCGCTCTCTTTGAATTTGAAAAACCATTCAGCTGACATACCTGGCGTTACAGTCTGGTTCCAGTGCATTTCCTGCATGTTTTAGATCGTGGACACAGCTGATTTGTTTAATTTAGACATTAATCAGATTCCGAATCAGAAGGTTTTATTGCTATTTGTGCAAGAATCCCAACATTAGGAAATTGCTGCGGAATTACTCCTGTAGACACAAAGGCAGGCTGGGGAAACTTTTCAGCCTTCAGGTGTTAAAAAAAGGAAAAATGTTTTGCTTTCGGTTCTACTAAACGGACACTAGAGGGTGCTAAAAGCATGCCAAACTGCCTTGTCCCTCTTTAAGGATTCTGGGTTATATTAACTGTCTGAACTACTCAAGTGCCTGTCACCAACACATTCTCACACCCAAAGTGGCTAAAACTGATTCAGCATTAATTGGGAGCTCCAACGCGTTGGGAGGTGACACATTCTGCATGAGCGTTGCTTTCCGACGCTCGCGGTAAAACTGAGATTTTAGCTAATTGTGACCTTTACCCTCTTGCGACTTAACCTTCCCCTAACCCCCATCCTAACCTTAACCCACTAGCGCATGCAAAACTTTGTTTCTTGTTGTATCGTTCCTCTTAAACACGGTTAACGGGAAATTTAGAACAAGAAACTGGGTTAAGGTTAGGATGGGGGTTAGAGGAGAGACTGAATGTCTCATCATTGCCCTTGAGAGCATAGTTCCTCTGATTAGTCAACAACTTGAATATGCAACAATTTAATAAAAAGATATATTAAAAAACACACATGAGGCATTTAGAGGTGTGAAGAATGAAGATACACTATTTTGGCTTGCTTTTAGCACCCCCTAGTGTCCGTTTGTAGAACCTAAAGCAGAACCTATCTCCTTGCTGTGCGTTCGTCTTTTTAACCTTAACCTAACAGCTCAAATGTCTCCCCAGCCTTCATTTGTGTCTACAGGAGTGATTCAGCACTAAATTAAACAAATCAGCTGTTCATGATCTAAAACACGTGTCAGACACAAGGCCCGTGGGCCAGATGTGGTCCACAGAGCATTTTTATGTGGCCCCCGAGATAAATATCAAAAATATATTACAACTGAGCCTCTGGCCGATTTTACAGCAAAGACTACAACTCCCATGATGCTCGGCGGCGTTAGCGCGGAGCCGAAGCGCCCCCTCCTTTGTGTTTTTTCCAGCGTCTGCTGCCGGTGTCTGCAGCTCCGCTGTCTCGGACAAACTAAACACTCCTCTCAATCAGCGCCGAGTTTACTCAGCTAATTTCCAACGCTGAAGCCCAGAAACGGAGATTTTAACCGCTCAGTAATGTGTTCACGACTGAAAGAGAACATTTTCCAACTAACGTCCAGACAGAGCTGATAAAACTCCAGCGAGCAGCGACACGCTCAAACCAGCACGGCTCTGTGGCTGCTGTAGTTGTTATTTTTCCTCCCCGACACACAACAACGTGGTCAAGCTGCTCAGACATGTTCATCAGCACAAACCTATGTGAGCACCTGTTGTCATCTAATGTTGTCATTATTATGATGAAGATGAACAAAACAACAGGAGTCTCCTCCTCAGCTCAGATCAACCCCATGATGCAGGTATCTGGCTGGAACAGGTGAGCATCACAGTAAACCAGTGGAGCAAACTGAGCTTTAAATATGTTGGTTTTCTGCTCTTTTTCTGCTCCAAAACATGAAAGTTAACAGGTGAGATGTTGCATTTTCATTTAAGATAAAATGATATTTTTATTTTGTTGTTGGCCCGTGAGAAAAGATTTAACCTACAGTAAACAGGAAGTGGAAAGGCTGCAGATAGATGAATAGAATAGAAAATCCCTTTATTGTTCCTCAGTGGGGAAAGCTAGACGTCACAGCAGCGATGACACTTATTACAGGAGAAAAAAAGGAGAATAAAAAATAAGAAAAATTAATAAACAACAAGAAAACATAAATCCTGAATAGATTTTAAAAATGCTGAATATACCACAAGTAATGAATACCACTGATGCCTTTTATTTAAAATTGACTTGCTCGTGTGTAATTTGGTTATTCCACATTCAGTGTTAATGCAGAAATAAGTGTGTTTCCAAATTTAAACGTTCAAAATTGCATATATGTTGATAAAGAAAATGTGCAAATTTGCATCACTTTAAAAAAAAAAAAAAAGTTTGGCCCTCGACTCCGTCCCAGAGTTTCATTTTCGGCCCCGTGTGAGTTTGAGTTTGACACCCCTGGTCTAAAACATGCAGGAAACGTACTGGAACCAGACCGCAGTGCCAGGTATGTCAGCTCCATTTTATGAAGTCCCAACAGAGCGACTGCCAGTCAGAAGTTGCAAGTGCAGGGGGTGATGGGGCTGGGTGACCTTTCATTGACCCTGTAAAGGGTCATTTTAGCACATACTGGCTCAAGAAAAAGATTTAAAAATATGAAAAAGTTACAAAGTATTGCTTTAAAAGCTACATTTTAATTAAAAAGATAATCAAATATTTATTTTGATGGGCACAGCACTGGGTTTATGTTTACAACGACCAGCCAATAGAGGGCGGGTTGCCAAATAGTCACAGTGAGGTTGGCACTGTGGAAAATGGTGGACTCTGCAAATCTAGCAGCTACTTCTGAGCCCAGAAGATGTCGTTATCCTTCTCAGAAGAGGGGTGACCATAAAAGATCTAAAAGTAGAGTGATTTTAGGTGAAGCCTACAACAGATGGACCCAAATAAAAGATGTCAAATGTCGGCAGCGAAGCAGGTCCCCCGACAGCTGAAATTCTTGTTCTGATGTTTCAACTACAACCGCCAAAACAAACTTAAGGAATTTGGGTGTGATTTCTGACAAATCAATGTCTCTTGAATGCCACTCAAAAATGCTGGTCTGGTTTTTATCATTTGAGAAATATCTCTAAACTTCAAAGATTGGTGGCATGAACTTGAAATGGTTACCCATGCTTTTATCTCCTGCCATCTAGATGACTAACACACTTTTTACACGTTTTAACAAAAATTATTGCCTTCATTTGGTCCAGAGCTCTGCAGCAAGGTTTCTAACTGGAGCAAACAGAAGAGCAAACATCACTCCTATTCTGATGTCTCTGCACTGGTTACTGGTTTTTAAAATCCTGACTATAATTTTCGATGCTCTACATGCTCAAGCCTCTCCTTATATTACTAAACCATGGACGTAATTTTGTGGGGGGGGGGGGACAGGGGGGACATGTCCCCCCCACTTTTTCCAAAGTCAAGTTTTGACCCCTGCACTTTTTACCATCCAAAAACAATATTACGCTATATTAAATTGACACTGGTTGAGCTCTAGGACCAAGCGGAAAACAACCGTTTGTGTTGAAGCCTGTTTCCCATTAGAACATATTGTAAAGATACCCCCCCCCCCCCCCCCACACCCGTGTCCCCCCCACTTCTAAAGTGAAAATTACGTCCTTGTACTAAACTGTTAAAGCCTTACGCCAGGACCACACCATCAGCGAAGCGCCGCGAAGCGCCGCGAAGTAGATCGCTGAACGCTGCTCCTCTGTTCACATCAGGCGAAAATTCGACGAGCGCTTTGCTCACGCCTACTGTTTTCCAGATCCCCCCACCCCACTCCCGTGTCCTTGCTGTGTGTGTGTGTGTGTGTGTGTGTGTGTGTGTGTGTGTGTGTGTGTGTGTGTGTGTGTGTGTGTGTGTGTGTGTGTGCTCATTTACGTCTCTCTAGTGTTTTTAGGTGCACAAAAAGGATCACATTACTCAATTGCAGTGTTTTAGTTAGAAACGTGCCTTTATTTTGTTAAATTTACCGGCCTGCCTCTTCTGCTTTGGTCTGACTTCCTGCCAGATTTGACACGGCTCACGAAAAAAATAGAGTGCACGCTGGAACGTTTGCTGCGCGGTGTGAGGCTTCGTCGTGCTTCGCGGCGCTTCGCAGCTGATGCGATCGAGACCGTTACGGTTCATCGCCATGCGTCCACCTCTGATGTGATCCAGGCTTTATGCTCCATCCCACCCCTCGGGTCCGCAAACCAGAACCTTCTAGAAGCTCCAAAGACCAGATGTAAAAGTCGAGGCCATCGCTCCTTCCAGGCTGCTTTACTAGATTTTGGAAAGAACTTCCTGCATCCTTACATTAATAGTCATGGTCACCTTTAAAAAGCAGCTGGAGAGCCTTTTATTTAAATGTTTAGTTCTCTTTTCATCGGTAAAATTACTTTTTATTATATTTCTGTTCATTTATGATAGTTTTGTAGTTTGATTTATGATCATGTTTTATTTTTATGACTTAGCAGTTTATTTGAATTTCTGATTTTAATAATCTTTCATCTTAATTTTGTAATATTTGCTGTTAATTTTAGGATCATTTGATGACTTTATGATTTGTTTCGCACTTTGTGATTTTCCTTCCTGCGATAAGTGATGTCTATATATGAGCTGTTTCCTTTATTACATGTATGATGAGGCAGAAACACACAGAAAGTGGCTTAAAGTGCTTTTACCATGTCCACACAGGAAGGTATTGTTGTTCTGCTTCTGAATATTTCATTCATGAAAAGACTTGAGAGGTGACATCATCTCTTGTTTGGTTTGAAACAGAAAAAATAGACATATTTTAAATATTGCTGTAAAGAACCACCTCCGAGCTATAAATGGCGCCTATGATGAACGAGTCTTTCCAGTGTGTGAATGGCAGCCGTGAGAGCGTGACCTCATGAGCCAGGTCAGGGATGAAACTCAGAAGTGCATGTCTGAGTGTTTGTGCTGATGTTAGGGATCCGTGGCGCTGCTGCTGTCTGTATTAGCATGGGACTGGAAGAGGAGTGTCTAACTCGGCGTGCACGAGCGTGTGCATGTGTGTGTCTACACTGATTGACGTCACAGACGCCCACTAATTTCCATCTTGTCTCCGTGCACGGAGAGAATAGAACCCCATCTGCATCCAGCTCCTCTCCTCGCTCTCATCCTGCCTCTTGTACAAGCTTCCCACCCCGTGGAGCGCAGCCAGTCTGCTAGATAAACAACTCAGAGCAACACTAACTGTTTAAGACAGCCAGACACCATCATCCTGGCTGAGGAGGACGTGTTATTATTAGAAGTGCACCAGAAAAACGCCTGCTCATTTCCACTGCTTCCGAGTTTAAAAGTCTGGAGAAGAGCCATCTGACCTCAACTTTCTTTACGTGACCCGTTGGAAGATCTTGACTGTGCACTTTGTCCGTCGCGCCTTTTTACGCACGAGCAACAAGCGTGACGTTCTTTCCACAACAGTTGCTCATCCACATTCACACACAGCGATGTCTCTGCTGACGACAGAGCACGATTTAAATCACTTCCTGGCAAAAGGTCATCTTCATTCTTTTCACAGAAAACACCCCCCGTCCATTCCTCACACCCAACCCCCTGCCAGCTTCTTTACAGCAATGTGCACAGATGAGCGTGCACGGTCCTTGACCAGAACGCTGTGGACTGTGGACATGAATAGATACAGACGGGGGGTTGCAAAAGGCGCTGGATGAGAAAAGGTTGATTTTGTTTTTTTATTAAAGGCAATCATTTCATTCATCAGAAGCAGAAAGGGCAGGATGGCGGGTTCATGTGTTGCTGGTGCAAAACTCCTCTGTGATGAGACTAGACAACCAAAGGATACAGAGGAGGATGCAGCAGTCGGGGCAGATGGTCAGAGACATGGACATATGTGGTAAATGGTAAATGGTCTGTATTTGATATAGCACCTTCTAGAGTCCCGGAACCCCCCAAGGCGCTTTACAACACAACCAGTCATTCACCCATTCACACACACATTCACACACTGATGGTGATGAACTACAATGTAGCCACAGCTGCCCTGGGGCGCACTGACAGAGGCGAAGCTTACCGAGCACTGGCACCACCGGTCCCTCCGACCACCACCAGCGGGCAACGTGGGTTAAGTGTCTTGCCCAAGGACACAACGACAGCGACAGACTGAGCGGGGCTCGAACCTGCAACCTTCCAATTACGGGGCGAGTACTTAAAGAGCAAGTCACCCCCTACCAGAATCTTACTCCACTCCCACTTCCTGTTTGAAAAATGCAACAAATGCTGTTGCCAAGCAGACCGAGAGGGCGGAGCCGCTAAGAAACACACACAAATACAGGTTCACAATGACATTGTGACATCATATGGTACCAGTTGATGTCATTTGATACTTCTTAGCCAATAGCAATGGCAGATTTAAATAAAAATGCAGTGCAGAGTTTTTACCTGAAGGGGTGCAACAGTGACAGTTTAAGGCAGAATATTTATATTTGAACAAAGATGCACTACAGCGCCAAATTATTGATGGCATCTGTCTACAGTACGGTCAGACACTCATTTATATAGTTTATCAGCAAAAAAAAAGTTGATTTGGGGGTGACTTGCTCTTTAACTCCTGTGCCACCGTCGCCCAGGACCGCACCATCATGCAAACACTCAGTTCCAACATTAAAACAAGTAAGCGGCTGATGAGCCTTCTGATGCCTCAGGAGAGAGTTGCATGACTGCATCTTTCAAAGTCCTTAATGAGTCAGAGAGCTGATCACAGGAAACAGGATGAATGGACAGATCACCGAAGGTGTAGGAGCTGTAGGAAGATCACAAGAATGGATAGGGGATGGAGGGGGCGCAGAACGAAGAGACCACCCTGGCTGAGATCTGAAACTTTCAGCCAGATCAATAATGTGTTTCCTTTAGTTTTCCTCACATCACTGCGCTTTATCGACAGATCTCACACGCGGCAGCCACTGCTAGATCCATACTCCGGGCCTGATTATGTGCCCTCAGTGTTAAAATGAAAAGCGAGTGCATTAAACAGTTTGATAAAAGAGGGCAGAAATAAGATGTGAATGAAAAGGGGAGCTGGGAGACATTTGAAGTCTTTGAAGTTTTTTGTTATTTTTAACGAACAAATGCGTGAATCCAGATTTGGTTATTTGAGGCCCAGCATTTCATGAATAAATTCCTTTTGCCCCCTGAAATCTTAAAGTTTGCAGAATCTTATATTCTTCTAAGATTTTGTGTCATCTGTTAGTAGGGGGGGGGGGGGGGGTCGGTATCGTTAACAGATCGATACGAGCCTAGTAAGATCGATGCTTTACTTTAAGTCCCGCTCTTGTTTCCAATGTTGTGGTTTTGGCAAAAAGGAAACAGTGAAGTGTGTTTAGACGTTGCGCTGTCACCTGAGTCACATGACTTAAACCAGCAAAGCAAACCATAGAGGTCATATATTCATATGAGGCGACATTGGGCACTGGAAAGCGTAACTGCTTCGCTGCCATATTGGATGGGTCTCTCACTCTCCAAAACCAAGCTGGAGTCTACCCTAAGTGAGCAACTATGCCCGTTTTTGTGCAGCTTACTTTTCTAACGACTGGCGTACTACTGAAAACAGGTCAGGTGACTTTTTGCTGGTTTGCATGCACTTTTTATTTAAGTTTGAAATTTTTGAAAAGAAAGCGTTTTCTATTAAATTATGAACTTTGTTCCAATTCTGTCCTGGGTTTTAACTATAAAATAATTTAAAAAAAAGATCAGAAAATCACTTAAGATCACGAACATTAATTGAGATTTAGCAATTCAATGACACGTCCGTCTTATTTATTGAAAAATACTGGTATCGGCATCAGTATTGTCGATACTGGCCCGTATGTACTTGGTATTTGGATCGATACCTAAATATGCAGTATTGCACACCTGAATCACACATCGGTTAGTGTCATGGTGCTGCTGAGTTGAAGGGCTGAGGTGAGGATCCAAACGCAGGTGAGTGACACAAAAGGCTGGTGAGGATGTATTGAATGGTTTTAATGAGAAGCACGAAAGACAAGGAGACAATGAACAGACAAGACGCACAAGACTGAGATGGTTTAAGTACATGAGGAGCTGGGACCTTGAGTGATTGGGAGACGAGAGGCAAGTGGGAGCAATTAACATGGACACAGGACTGAACAGAAACGGAGTGGGGGCCTCCGTCTGGGGCACAAGAGGTGACTGTTTATGGGAGCCCGTGAGGACCAGATCCCTGAAAGCAGGATAACCAGCTGGGCTGGGCCACTGGGGGCTGGATAGGCTGGAGACTGGAATTCAGGAGGAGGCGGGAACACCTCTGAGAGAAAGCTCGGGAACGACTCGTCCGGTGGTCAAACTGGGCCTCTTGGACAGGCTGGGGCGGAGCCTCTTGGACAGGCTTGGCTGGGGGTGGAGTCTGTTGGGAGCGCTGGCTGGACTGAAGATGGCTGTAGCGCTGGGGGAAACTGGAGCTCCAAGCCAGAGTGCAGAGCAGGGGCCTCTGAGATAGGCAGCACAGCTTCAAAGGCCCCGTTGGCTGGTCTTTGGAGAAGGAAATCCCAGGTGCGAGACAGCTGATAGGCC